TAGTCTGCCGTCCGAGCGGTCACACTCTGTTCGAGCAAAACAGAGTCCGAGCGGCCACATTCGTTTCTTAAATCTTTCTGCATGATCATCATCGAAACATCACGTGTACCCTATTTTTAACCATGAAGGGTTACTACATTTAACTCTTACGCGCTCATTAAAAGCACATATCTATGATTAAAACTGTTTTTCGCTACCGCCGCTAGGGGATTCTTTTCGGCTTCTGGTTGGCCAAGAGAACATGTCAAGCCCTCTTTCTTCCTCTGGTGCGCGCCCTGGCTCTGCCAGCGGCTCTCATTGACCCAACTCTCGATGTACACGGCTCTGCGTGAAACGTCTACGAGTCCACTTTCCTGCCAAACACAAAGACATCCAATCACTGTGAACAACAGTAGGATCCCAGTCAATAACGATGCTCGTAATACTATTTATCCTAAAAGTGCGATATTCGCAGGTACAATGACCAAAGTGAAAGGTTAGGCTGGTTGTCCCTGCGCAATATCGCATCTTATTTTCAGCTTTGTCATTCGCTGGAATCCTGGGCCCTAAACTCGTCAGATACAAAGTTGTAGCCGAAAGTTCGCGGAGCGCGCCGATTGGATGTCGACGAGAAAAACGCGAAGTCATTGTCGTGATTGTCCAATCGGCGCGCTCCGTCAACTTTGCCTCCAACTTGGTATTTGACGAGTTTAGGGCCCCTCCGCTGCAAAAAAAGTAAACTCATAGGCTTTTTTTTTTTTAATGCGATTTATAATTTTTATTTTTGTTGCCTCGTGATTGGTCCTTCGTCGCTGTAATCAGCTTATGCAACAATATCATTCGCCGCGAAACGATAATGAGATGCAATCGCCACTTGCCACTCTCTACGTTTCTCAAGATGTCGTTGACTTGCGGTAATGATCCCACATTTATGACTCTGGAGAACTGTTATTTGCTAAAAAAATAAAACTATCTCTAAATGGCAGTAATGGAATCTACGCCTCCTATTCGCACAGGCCAATTGATTGGCTGCTCTTCTGCCTAAAGACTGCGTGCCGACTCTTGAAAAGGTTCATGGCGGAAAAAAACAAAAATGTATTCCTCGCGGGAGGCCGACACCAATGGCGGGGTCAGAAGCTTTCCAGCTGGGGGCGCTATTGATCTCGCTAAGATCGAACCGATCCTCGCATTTCTCAGCTCTGTTTTCCGCCACATGTTTCTTATTCTTTCTCGATTTTCTTTCTTTCCTGGTTTTGTGTCTCTCGGGAACCCTAGACGTGCTGAGCCGGAAATCAACGCCGAGTTCCTGTAGGCGCGCTTCTCTGGAGACTCACCCGACTGGAACAAAAAGCTTATCGAACGTCTGGAAGTTTCGGAAAGGATGCATAAGAGACGAAAGCGATTTTCTCGCGTCTTAGAGGCGCCGGTAGACTCAAAGAAGCGCCAGCCATGAGCCCGGGACAATGCGCGAAGCGAAGCGCTTTGATCAGGGAAGTTCCGTCTAGAGGATGCACTATACAGTCATCTTCTATGTTCGTTAAACAAAAAAGAGCAGACGGTAGTAGTTTTCTTTATAGATGACCCTAACATTTACGTCGGAGCACAGACTAGCGGGTGGCAAGCGCAAACCACCCGATCGAGCGTCGCTGGTGACGCAATCTAATGACCCTGTCTCACTTAACAAACAAAGGAGAAACACCGCTCACAATATACTAGTAACTTTCGCATGCTAGTAACATGCGAAAGTTACTAGCATATTTTCTTAAGCACGAACCTAACAATAACTAATCGGAAGGAGACTATCGTGTTTGTGGAAAGGCGGCACCATAGTGACGACAGTTCGGTCCCGCAGGAGGCTGCTTTTAACGCGAAAGCGTTCAGGAGCTCGTGTCGCAGGAAGGCCGGCGCCGGCGTCGGCGTCGGTGGTGTCGTTGATGGAAAAATCCTGATTGGTCGATAGGGTCGTGACGTCACAATCACATGACCTCGCGCGGGAATTTCAAACAACCCACAACGCTCACGTGAAACGTAACGTCACACGTGTAGTGAAAGTGATTAAAACGAGACACGTAATGCGAATTTAAAGTCGCCAAACGTCTCAAATGATTTCACGTCATAAAGTAATTCATCTGACTTGAAGAAAAAAGATAAAGATTTTAGGCGGGATTCGAACCCACGACCCTTCGAGCCAGACACGTTACTGCATAGGCCACGCACAGACGCTTGCACGGATTGGAAACGAGCAGGAGTTTATATGTTTATATGTTTCAGTGTGGAACGCTATCGCGTTCCCCTCTTAAAGGCGAAGCTTAGGCGTCCTCCAGTTTTGATTAAGAAACTGACGAACTCAGAGGCATACAATGAGAGAGCGGCATTGGCCCATAAGAACACCGAAGAACGAATCCCGAAGGAGCAAGAAGTCTGAACATAATAGGCCACGTCCTGCGTTTGTTAAGTTGACAGTGACCAGATAGTTGATCTAATCAAAAGTAATGTACAATAACATACCAGAAGCTCAGATTTAAAAACGTAGCTGGCCTCATTTATCAGAGGGCCAGATCTCGTAACACTCTTGTTGTACGTAATTTTGTTTTCTATCCCGTCCATTGTTTTCAGCACTCCGAGACTCCAGTCTTTTACATCAAACCACAACAACAGCACCGTATGTACAAGTGTCTTGAAACGTGTCCTTATTTCCACACCATTACATACGACACTACATTATGCCTTCACTACACCAATCCCCCGCAATTGTATGCCTTCACGACATCCTTAAAGCCTGTTTAACTAGCTGTATAAACGAAGCCCCGAAACACGAGCTTTGAATTGCTCTTCTTGTTTTGTAAAGCGGCAGAAAAACAGGAAGGCGAACGGCTTCACGAGGCGCTCGGTTTGACGTCACGTGTTGCTCTCGTGTACACAGAAGGCGTTCCTCGACCTCACCTGACGTTTACAATCGACAGCCTTCGCATGCAGCTAACTCTTTTTCTTGCTCTCGAGGACGGGTCGCTATTTTTAGCCCATCGCACGCGCGCACTTCATCTTTCAATGAAAACCCCTGAGACGGGCTGGGAGGAGGAAGACTTCTGATAACTCCAATAGACGACATTAATGAAGGCTGCGGAAAAATTAGCGCTAACATTTTTTTTTTTTACTAATAATACGCCACGTTGGTTGCGTAACAACACCGATGTACGAATCACGAAGCAAGAAATGTGAACATAATAGGCCACGCCCTGTGGTTCTTGGCTCTCGGTAACGCTAACGAATCTATTCATGCGCGATCATCACTTACGTTGATGGTCGGATTCTTCATGTTCTTAACTCCTATGAATAACACTTTGCATAGTTCGAAACAACAAAAATGAAAGCTGCGATAAGGTATTCGGTCGACCAGCGTGGTGTTCTGTAAGTACATAGCTACGTAAATACAATGACATCGCGTTGGCTGTGCCAGATGGTAAAATTCGCCACCTGATTTTTGAAATTTGGTTTGTACGCGAAATTGATTGGGTTAAATGGTATGCGATGCTTAATCTTTTTTACGCATTTTTCGCGTTAATCTTACTACTGTCTCGCGAAATCCGGTGAAACTCCGATGTCCAATCCGGCATCGCTGGCTTAAACCCGGAGCAAAAGGGCTGAAATGCTTTCTCTATAACCTTCCCAAACTTCGGCAGATTTGAATTGGAATATTGATTAGTTTTGTTTTACGGATGGCCGCGATTTGTCCGCGGAAAGTTTCCTCCAATGACGCTCGCTCCGCTGCACAGAGATGGTCTCTAGGGGTTGAACTGCGATTTGTTCCAGGGTCCTGAGCCATAAGGAAAGTGCCGGGCTAGAGATTGATTGGGACGGAGCGGCCGTGCGGAAAATTAAGGAAAACAGACAGGTTTTTTTGTCTCTAGGTGCGCTCCTTTCCGCGAAAGACATCACAGAGACAGCTGGAATAACACATCGCCGTTTTTTGTCCGAGTGGCTGTTTCTTTTTTTTTTTTTTTTTCCCATAGTGACCATTAGATTGTGCGGATGCCCTTCCACTGATTTTGCAGAGACGTGCTGCATCACGCACACAAACGCTCTGTGATGTTGTGCGTGCTCGCGGGATTTACTTAGGAACACCTGCTTCGATGTGCAAATCGTTGCGTGAGGGAGAAACAGACCGCCCCGTTGACTACACGCGGACAGCTACTTCGTCCTACTTACGCTATCACTGAATAAAAAAAAGATATCTTCGAACCCTATTGTCGGCGTTGAGCCAAAGACACGCTGCTCATTCATCATACAAAGGACGCGTACTGCAGACATGAGGACATACTCATCTGCCTACACGCCCAATGCATGTTGGAAGCGCTTCATGCGTGTGCTTTGAACATGTCGGCAGACGGTATGACCGATGTTGCCGTCATACAAGGAAGGCCTCGGACAATGTCCGCGGACCGTCTTTTGCACGACGTGTTAACAGTGTGGCCGCAGCTTTATTATGCACGTGACTACGCGACGGGCAGAGGCGTGTTTTCTTACAAAAAGAAGGCGCGCTTCGACAAAGATGCCTCAACGAACCTGCTTGTGTGGTTCAATATCAAAAGGGCGATTCAACTCATTGATCAACTCTACTGCGAAGCATTCTCGATGTTAGGCTGGGTAACGCAAAAGGAGACGGTAGTCCTCTAGTCGCGCATGGTACTCACTATAGTCTTTTTTTTTATGGTACGCTGCAACATAAGAACTGATTGTTAGGCTCCCCTCCCCCCTCTTTCTCAGAGAGGAGCAACGTCGCTACGCCACTTTGTGCGAACGCATCATCTTTCAGTCACTTTTTTTCAAAATTGACGCCCCCCCCCCCTCCCCCCCCCTCCCCCCCCCCCCCCCCCCAATACAAAAGAAAAGAAAAAACTGTAATGTTTGGTGATCCTTGATGCATTGAGCCCTGGAGCTGATTCCTGCCGTCGTTGCTTTTCGGGACGGAGTACCCTCGGAGTTCTTAGGTTGCGAACTCTGATGTTACTCTTGGGACTCACCCATCCGCCTTGCTGGCTGATCCAGGAAGCCAGGTCCCGCTCGACGAAGAGTCCCAGCGCCTGGACCAGGGCCAGGACGTACTCGGGGTGTCCCAGCTTGACGCAGTCCACGGCCAGCCCTCCGGACACCGAGTACAGCGCCACGATGCGGCCCCAGGAGATGTCGTTGCGGAACAGCTCCCGCGCCACGGCTTCGAAGACGTTCTGGACGGCCGTCTCCGAGGGGAGCGCGTGCAGGCCGATGTTGCCCGTCACCGTCTGCAAGGTCCCGTTGAAAAAGAAAGGTTAACGTAACCACACTGTTAACATAAACAAACCTAACAGAGGTAAAAAAAGGGAACAGAAAACGTCTTGAACTCTGCTAACGTGTTTATTTAATCATCCTTCTTCTGTACGCACAACCAGAACGCCACCAAATCGCAAAACATACTGTCTCAATGACAGACACAAAAATGTACAAATGATTTTGTACCAGTCTCGTTTTGTTAAATTCGAACTAGTCTTGGGCCTCACATTATCCTCCCATACCGGGAAGTTGCATGCAAACCTCTTTGCTATTAAAGAGTGGGAGAGAAAAAAAGTGTTTATTGGAAGACGAAGAGGTTAACCAAGTTCGTGCTGGGAGAGAGGTTGGAGGGATAAAGAAAACAGATACGTACAAAGAGAAATTTAAAGAAAGACGAAACAATAAAACACGTAAACTAATACATATAAAATAAAGTGAGTCTCACACAAAATTGAAGTCATGAAAAAATGAGTCAGAACATATGAGTTCCATCGAGGAAAATAGGCGCATAATCTATGTTCACTTCTCTCGCCTGTTGAATCAGCGCATCCAATGTTGAAGATGGTCGCTTGACCATTGCTGGAAAGTTCACGCCACTTCCAAGAGGCGGGACTCCCTTCTTTCCAGCCTCTTGGATAGTGTCGTCCTTCCCACATTCGCCGTACTTTTCTGTACGAGGGTGTTTATTCTTTGGCTTTACCGCTGCTCTTGCCAATACATAGTCAACTTTGTTTGCGCTACGGTATTTAAATATCACACTACCGTTCTTGTATATTGAGCAATGACGTGAAGTTGAGTTACGGTGTCTCTTACAGTTTACGGTTCTTGGTGCGTTTGGTTTACATGGTCACCTTTACAGCGGCTGCAGCACAGGGGTTTGGTGAACATGATGGCAACATGGCCAAAACGGCGATATTTGGGGAATTGTCGCGGTTTTTTCGCGTAAGGGTAGATTTTAAACCTCGTATGCCCTGCAGCGGCATACTCAGGAGGTTTAGCGAGGCGACAATAAGCTTCACTAACTCAGCTGACTGTTCCAGTCTTCTAATGTTGGTGATGGAGATGGGTGACTGGGATATGACTTTGGTTTCTTTATACTGCTGATCATCAGTAATTTCCTGGGAGACACCTCGTGTAATTCCAACAGCGGCTGTTACTGGATGTGGCTAATATGCACTAACCTTCATCCCTCCAACTGTTATTTTCAGCAGTGGTTTGGTTGATTCGATGTTTCTTCTGTCGAGACCGAGCATATTGAGTCGGTAGTTGGGTCTGGTTTGCAGAACTCCAGCCGGTGCGATGCTGTTGAAGCTCTCAGTGAGCACAAGAGGATTAATCTTGGTTATCAATTGGTTCAAATTTGCTGGTTTGACCACAACAGTGAGGCAGTGACTCAGTTGCTATGGAGGTGTGGTGATGACGGTGCCATCACTGGATCCAGTGCCTTCAGAAATGTGGCGTCATTTTCTTTGCTTCTTGGATGTTACCCGATTATATCCGGGGACGTCTTAAATATAACTCGGGAGGTCCTAGCACGGGTCGTTATATACGCTGAATAGACAGGAGGAGCCATAAGCACAGCCGATTGACTTGGCAGGCGGGTCCTCCATGGAATACTACTAGTCCCCGTAGGGACAGAACGTTGGTCTGCCTTCAGGTAGTGCAGCGTACGGCCCCTCGTTGACGCACGTTGGGTTTCAGCAGAAGGTTGAGGAACGAGGAGTAATAATAGATATGCACCGCGGGCTTCTGTGGTACGTGTTGTGACCTTTCCGCGGTGCCGCTGCTCTCCGGGGGCATTAAAGATCATCATCATCATCTTCTTCATCATCATCATCATTATTATTATCATCAACATCAACGTTCTTTCAAATCACGTCGTCGTCGTCTTTCTCCTTACTTCGAAGTCTATTATCCACGAAGTAGACAGCGTGATTGTCACACCGCGGTACCACCATCCCTGAAAGTTTCGAATACCGAAAGGTCAACAAGGTCAGACTGGTTGCATCGACGTCCGAACAACAGCAGAAAGTTGGTTTTGTCTGCATTTCCTGTTGACCTGTGTCTCAGCCGTAGGCGGGTAATCCAGCCGGTGAGACTCCAAAACTGCCTTCGTTCACGTATTATCACTGTCATGAAAGTGAACTACTCGCCATGCGTCCTTGACGCATAACAAATTCTTTAAAAAAAAACACTTTTTTTATTGGTTTGTGGAACGAGGCATATATAGTAGTTTCCTTCTGCGAAATATTCACAGCCCAGTAAGTTTTCGCCGGGATGATAAGCACCGAAAAAGGGCATAGATTGGGACGAGCAGTTTGAAGTTTCAGTTTCTGCACTTTTCACGAACAATCGACCTGGTGGGAGACCCAAGAGTACCAAAAGAAACAGTTGAGCTTTGCATATATTGGTTGTGGGGAGAAGGAAGGGCAAGTGCATCAACAAAAAGCCTTCTCTTGTCAAAATCAGCCGAAGTAGGATTTGAGTTCGAGTTACTTGTGTTTCCATCGTGGCTTTTGCTCCACCGCAGTGAGCATTAAGCCGGGGTCACGCTGCTTGTACATCATACGGACGACAGTCTGCATACAGATCGAACGTGAGTCACAGCGAGATCCGCACTTCGAATGCCGCAGGGCAATGGTTTCAACTAGACACACACGGCATTCGAACCACAGACATTGCGGTGACTCATTTGCAGACTCTTTTGTACATGGTGTATGAGCTGCAGCGTGACCCCGGCTTCGGTCCGTACAGCGTGCGAGAATGTACTTATTAGTGTCCGGTTCTTAGTTTCTTCGCGAAGCTTTTTTTGTTATATACATTCACGCTTTTCGGAAAAACTGTTCAAAATCTTAAATTCAACAAAGCGGTTCGGCTTTGCCGAGATGAAATATGAAATGTGCTTGTCGCTACGAGATGGCGCCACAGCTCTAAAGCATAAGGCTACTGCGTGGAAGCCGCGACAGACTATCCCTTGCCCTTAGAAACAAAAATTACAGTTTATTATATGAAATCAAGTGAACAGCTTCATATTAGGCATACATAGAAATAAACTGCCACTACTTAAAAAGTACGCAAAAAAGCGCATCAATCAAAAACACTACCAAGCACGAACACGCGCACATGGTACGCACGAAAACTGCAGGTACAAACAAAAGAATCGCTAGAAGCACTAATTAATGTGCACATCACATGCATCAAACGCATATCCACGCTAACTAGTTTTCGGAGCAACATCACGCAACATAAATGAAAAAAAAAGAGAGTAATTTCCTTAACTGACTAGCGGGTTACTTCATCAAGAAATGGCTCGGCTCTAATTTTGTAACTGCAACCTGTTCAATCTTCTTTTTTTCTTCTTTTTTTTTTTAAAGGCGAAAATGTGCAACAGGTTTGAAATTGGAGCGCAAGCTGCTACCCTCGTTAAAATATAACTTTTAACGAGTTCGTAGCATGACGGCTTTAATCTGTTCCTCTCCGTCTGCTCATGCTTTTATTAAATTGTTTATTTCGTAGTACAGAAATTAAAGAGCTAACATTACGCGACACCTAGAAAACAAACATAAAAAACACGTCTTTGTCAGTAGGGAAAAAAAAGGGATAAATTATTTAGTGTTGCGCACATTTTCTTTTCTGAATTTATGCGCTAACTTTGCCGGACTGGAAAATTAATCGAAACGGGAACGAGCCGGTTCGGGCATCCGTTGCACGACTTGTTTTGACAACGCAAATGGCATCAGCCAAGCTAAAAGCATCGGCTTCTTTCATGCCGGGCTTTCAGCTAAATGCGGTCGATATCGACTGCCGCCGTCGCCATACGCTAACAAAAAGCGGGCTTACAATTTTATTTGCCCTTTGCACGAACGTCATACTGCATCATATATTAAATCTACAAAGTGATTCGCTAGTGCTAATATTTTCAGGGAATACTTACATAGTTGATATTCACTTGTGTCACGGCGTCGCTGCGTCATGCTTTAAATAACTTCTTTATCATCAATGTTTTGCTTGCAAATATTTAGACTGTCGCTGAGCTCGAAGACTTTTAAGACAGTTGACATATATTGACATATTTACGAGCTTTATTTTATTGTTCCCTCTTCACTTCTGGATTTATTGCAGTTGATATATATGGGGCGTCCAAATAGTTTATCCACCTCAGTAGAAAAAACAAGTTTTCAATATTCGTTGTTTTGTTTTATGTTACAATATAGTCCGCTAACACTTCATTCATTTTTCCTGCAATGAATTCAACCATTAAAAAAAAATCTTCAGTTTGACTTTCAAATCAGGGCGTCGGAGTTCTTTGACGTATTCATTACCAAACAATTGATCTCCACGGAGAAAGTTCTTGCAAGCTCGGAACAGGAAATAATCCGAGGGAGTAAGGTTACAGTGTAGGGCCGATGGTTCAGCTGCTGGAACTCACATTCTCGAATGGCAGCCTTTGATTGACGTGACATGTGAAGCGGCGCGTTGTCGTGAAGAAGGTGCACACCTAATCTGAGTTCTCTTCGTTTTTCTCCTCGATCAGCTCCCCCAAAGCGATCATTGCGTCGGTGTAAGTCTCCCCGGTCATGGGTGTCTTGTGGGGCATTATCTCCAGAAGCTAAAGTCCTTCAACATCTCAGGAGACCGCTGCCATTACCTTTCCTGCAGATTGTTTCGTCTTTAACTTTTTGGGGTGGGGGATGACTTGTGCTTACACTACATTAACTCCGTTTTTGCCTCAAGATCTTTGTAATAAAAAAAAACAAAAAAAACAAGTCTAATCTCCGTTTACCAGACGATGAAAAAAAAAAAAGTGTTTGGTCCTCACGGAGGATCTCCAAGTTCTCCTGACCGCATTTAAGCCTCGTGTACGTCCTCCTGATATGGCATCAGCAATCTAGGAACCCACGTTGCAATGACTCTTAACTTGCCCAAATTTTCGTGAAATATTTTTTTTTTAGATAAACTTTCTAACATACCT